TGTATGTTTATTATTATTATTATTATTATTATGTCTTAGATTCCCATTTCAAATTCAAATTCTTGAATTTCTCCTAATAAAGGTATATCTTATCTTATCTTATTTTTACAATGTTTTAATAACATGAGCTGACAATGACCTTTAATAATCTAGAATATCTATAATATAGATCTAGATAGATATTTTTCTTTTTCATTTAAAGTAATGTATATTCACCCTACCCCAAACACATAAGGTGTTACTTGTAATGATGTCACATCTGTTGTATCTGGGCGGTCCCTTCAGCATTATGTGTCTTAACTACAGTATATAAAAGGCTGTGTCCTAAACTACCATTATTCTTTGTATGTGGCCAGAAAGGACAACTACTGTCATATATTTAGCCGTTAAAATATTTAACATTACTGATCTGGGGCTTTACTAAAACCTGGGCCAGCAATGGCAATGCTGGCTGCAAAGCTTCTTGTGTTTCTGTCTCTCATTTGGAGCAAAGCTGGCTCAGCTGCTGCTCTGAATAATTGTGTTTTCTTGGGGGAAGAGGAGAAAAACAGTCTGTATGAAGATGGAGATGTAGTTATAGGTGGTTTATTCCCTCTACACTACAGCCCTGTGTCTTCTCTTCCAACATACAAAACTAAACCAGCAGCTTATATGTATAAATAGTAAGTGACTACTATAATGTGTTTGATTGTAGTACAATGTTTTCCTTTTATTGAATTTGTGTTCATGGTAATTTAATATGTATATATTTGTGGTGTATGATGAACTGCTTTTCACTTCTGCACAGTTTCAGCTCTCGTGCCTTGCGCTGGATGCAAACCATGACTTTTGCAATTGGAGAGATCAACCAGCGCAGTGACCTGCTGCCACAGCTCAAGCTGGGTTTCCACATTCGTGACAGCTGTGATGACATACCGGTATCTCTGAGAGCATCTTTGCTGTTGGTGAACGGCCAGCCAGAGAGAGACTCCAGAGGTCCACAAAGTAAAAATGATTTAAATTTAAGTTGTGCTGCTGTACAAAGTATTGTCTCCCCAGTAATCATAGGAGATGCTGCCTCTGGGGTGTCTATGGCTCTGCTGAGAAGCCTGGGTTCTTTCCATATCCCCCTGGTGAGATTGGCTGATTGTCTGACCACTTTTGTTGTGATAATCTTAATATGTGTTTGGCACGTTAAATCAATAAAATAATGTTTTTTACAATTTCTTCATATTATTGAAACAGAGTTACAAATTGTTTCTTGAAAAGGACAGCCCCATTTCAGCTTTCTGATAATGCATTGTTCTGATTATCCAATTAGTTAGTTCAAGACTCAACCACAATTAATCCTTTAATTCATTTGAAAAATGTACTGGTAAATGGTTTTCACTGGATAGAGATTCAATACTAAATATTTAATTGATGCTGTTGATTGGACTCAAGTATACAGTGATTTGTTTGAAAATGTACCAGGTTCATACTTATGGCGTAAAAATGACAAAATTATATTTTCAGAACTTTTAACATAAAATATTATAACACACATAGCAAAATCAGTATTAAATCAACTTCCATTTTTACAATTTAGTTAGCTTTTTATGTAAAGTACATGGAAAATTCTGCTCCATTGAATGTTTGTAAAGACAACAGTATTGTCTGGTGAAATTTGATGCTCGTTTACAGCCTTTTCAATGAACCAAATTTTGCAGAAGGTTAACTATTGTTTGCTATTATACCAGGTGAGCTATTTCGCATCCTGCAGCTGTCTGAGTAACCAAAGGGAGTTCCCCACATTCATGCGAACCATGCCTAGTGATGCCTTCCAGGTCAGAGCCCTGGCCCGGCTGGTTAGTTATTTTGGCTGGACCTGGGTGGGAGTCATTGGTCTGGAATCTGATTATGCTCGCTTTGCCATCCAACTCTTCCTGGAGGAGTCAGTGCAGTATGGTGTGTGTGCTGCCTACATTCATTTCTACCCTGTAGTCCTGAGTCAGCAGGCTCTAGATGAGCTTCTGGATGTAATTCAGGTACCTAATGGTCAATATGACATTTTCATACATACTGCAGGTAGACAACAAAGACCTACAATAAATAAAAGAGGTTGTTTAAACTCCACAGTCATTTGAGGTCAGTATTTGAGGTGTTCCATTGTGATACTGAACAGAAAGGCAAAGGACATAGTTTCCATTAACACATTTTAATTAAATTGGTCTTTTGGTCTCTTTCATAAGTCTAAGAAAATAATCAAAAATGGGACCAAAAATTATTAATATTTGTTTTGCTCATTGCATTGTATTAATTCTCCCTTTCATCTAAAAATCACAGACACCCCAAAATACTTCAAGGTATAACGAAAATGCATGCAAATACTTTGAATTAAAGAAGGTTTACATTTTTAGAATAATACAATTTAAAATTGTTATGTTATTAGGTTTAGTATTGCAACACTAGAAATTATGTCCTGAGAAATTACCATACCCTGTAAATATGTCCTGTTAATATATATTTTATTAGTATGCACTATGCAGTATTTCAAAGTGTTATAATTATTATAGATGCCTGAATGTAAATCAAATTTCATATAAAGTAGAGGAGGCCCAACACACCATCACTTCATCAAAGTTTTTAAAACTGTTTTAAGTCAATTAAATATGAACTATTCTACATTTTTACTGTTTAGATGGCATCCTCAAAGGTTATCATCAACTTCTGCAGTGACTCAGAGATGAAAGGTATTCTGAAAGAGATCCGACGTCGGAATATAACCGGTCTGCAGTGGATCGCCAGTGAAGCTTGGGCCACTGCCAAATCGCTTTGGGAAAAGTTTGGAGATCTCCTGACAGGAACACTGGGATTTGCCATCCAAAGAGCTGATGTGATTCCAGGCCTTCAACAACACCTCACTAGTCTCAGACCATCCAATATTCATGAATCAGCTTTCTTGGCAGAATTTTGGGAAGAGACGTTTAACTGTCGATTGAATGGGTCAGTGAACAGCCACTCTCATGGAGATAACAACTACATCGACAGATTGCCATGTAAAGGGACGGAGGATTTAAGCAATGTTTACTCTCCTTATTCTGATGTGACACAGCTAAGAGTGTCTTATAATGTCTACAAGGCTGTGTATCTGGTGGCCCATGCATTGCATAATATGAATAATTGCATAGTTGGACAGGGGCCTTTCTCTAATGGCACCTGTGCAGACCCAAAGAATTTTAAACCTTGGCAGGTGAGACTAGGTCTAATGTCATTTTCTAAAAAAAAACTAAACAGTGAGAAAAAAGTCAAGTCCACCATAGTTTTTAAAAACCACCTGTTTTTCTCCCCCCTCAGCTAATTCACTACATGAAACATGCAAATTTTTCTGCACTCGGGGAGAAAGTCAGCTTTGATCAAAACGGTGACCCCATTGCTTATTATGATCTCTTGAACTGGCAAAGGAGGCCTGACGGCTCACTACATTTGGAAAAAGTAGGTTTCTATGACGCCTCATCGCCTGCTGGACGCAGCCTGGTCATAAATGACTCAGTGATTCAGTGGCCTGTTGGGAAGCAGGTGTGTTATCTGCAAACAGGCTTGAGATCATTTTCACCTCTCACACTGTTCTATGTACTGTTGATCAACACATCAGCTAAGTTTTTTCCATTAGTGCGAAATATACTTTAATTTGTTTGTATTGTTAAACAAGCAAAATAAAATGTCATCTTCAAATATAACATACTCAATCTAAAATCAATTACATATGAATGTTGCCAACATAAACCCCATTAACTACCCATAATAAGAACAGATTACAGCTCTAAAAAGACTTATATATACACATATATATATGTTAACAATGATGGTATATCTGACACAGGCATGTGCATCAGTTATCTGTTGATCCTCTGGTGTCAAAATTAATTATTTATCTAATTATTATTAAAGCACTGTTACTCCCTCAAAATTCTGCCATTTAATCATCACAATAATCGGTAGTCCACAGAATTCTGTTGTAGTTGTAACACAGGTTTCATTGATCAAGCTGAGTTTGGTTTGCATACTTTTAGTCTATTTCTGTAGAAACCAGAGACAGAAAAAAAAAACAGAGTGGTTTGGTGAATATTGATGAACTCATTGTGTGTTTCTGAGTGGCTGAACTTTG